TCCAGCCACTCTTCCCCATGCCTGTAGCGTTGCATGGGGTTGTTGTGACCCCAGTGCAGGGCCCAGGTACTTGGCCTTGTTGAACCTCACACAATTGGCCTGGTGCCATGGATCCAGCCTGGCCAGGTCCCTCTGCAGAGCCCTTCTCCCCTCCAGCAGATCCACACTCCCATCCAGTTTGGTGTTATCTGCAAACTGACTGAGGGTGCACTCGATCCCCTTGTCCAGGTCATTGATAAAGATGTTAAACTGGCCCCAGAACTGAGCCCTGGGTAATATTACATGTGTCATCATCTCCCATCCCAGGAGAACTTAGACCCTGAGAGGACCTATTCAGTAGTCTGGTCTCTGGCTAAAGCCATGGCAAGACCATGCAGGAAGAAAAAAAAGTCAGAGGGGCAAAGTACTGCACTGGTCACAGCAGGACGCTGAGAACCACAGGGCCTTCTAATAGCGACAGTCAGAAGTATTTTGCACTCCTGGAAAGGTTTTAAAGCAGGTAAAAATATTGCAAAATGTGTGCAAGCAGTCAAATTGATTTAAAGACATAGCCCCCATGATCATATATCCTGTCAAGTTTTATTTTCAGGAAACAAATCAATTAGCAAATGTAATTCTCAGGAAGGCTTAAGAAAAGAAATTTTTATAGCCTGCACACTCAAGCATACTTGTTGGAATCTCCTGTGAGGGTTCAAAGCATCTATAGCAGCTATCTCGTATAGTTGTCCAAACACAATTATGCATAAATTTGCATTTCAGGTGCTGAATACTAAAGTGCATCTGGAATGATTCAAGTTACTTTTTTTTTTTTTCCAAAAAGATGGGAGTAATTTTCATTAAAGACACCCTTGAAGGAAACCCTAATCAGCCTGCAGTCATTCCCTCAATATGAGGGGACTATTGTCACAAATTATTTTCTCAGTTAAGGTTATTTTCACTTGATATAGTGAAAAACCTGGCTAGCCTTACAAAATTTGGTCTTACTTTATCCTTTCATAATATTTATTATCCTCATTTTGGAGGCTTATCCTTCACTGAAGTTGCAAAATACAAAAACTGCTTGCAAAAATTACACTCGGTACAACATTAACATGCAAGTGTTTCAGCCCAGCCTCTGGTCTCACCGAAGTCATCCAGAACAAAGAGCTTTGGAATGCAACATGCCAGTTATTTTTGATGGCTACCAGTCTATTGCAATTTCTCTTCCTCTTAATGGGATGTCTCCTATTTTTGGACCAAACAATCACTTTCCGCTACACAGACACAATGAATTATTCAAAAATTCAAATTAGGCATGACATTTCCAAATCTCCTTCTTTTAGCAGATAGTCAGTTAAAAACAATAAGACTTGCTTCCTCCATGTTTTATTTATTCTCTTCTGAGATCTGTGGTTCCTGTTATGTAAACTCTCCTCCTCTGAGTGCTGTTAGCAAGGTCCCCAATCCCAGAGATTAACGTGCATTAACAGCTCTTGCAGGAGCTGCTTCCAGAAGGAACAATTAAAGGGTAATTTCTTTCCCAAACTGAGCATGAGACCTAGCTGTCAAGTCAGGCCAGCAGCACTGCCTACAGGAAGAGCCAACAGCAGAGCCAGGCATCCTCTGGCCGTTATGTGGTACCCAAGGCATGGGGAGGGCTCACTGGGGGATGCTGGGCAGTGGTGTGGGTCTTGCACGATGTCTAACTTAGCTCTGCAGGGACTCACATGTGAACTTTGCTTGCAGGCACAGAAGAATTGCCCACTGGTGGTATCTCAGACCCTTCAAATTTGGCTCTTCAGCATACACAAGACAGAGAAATGCAAATACAGATAGATACGGCTACTCATCTGCTCTGCAGTAGTCCTTAAGTCCTGGCCCCGGGGTGTCTCTGAATCACACTGTAGGTACTGAGGCTGTTGGGACCAACCTACGACGTCATCAGAGGTGCCTTTTCTACAGGTACCATCTCACTTCCCTGCCATGATGTGTGGCAGGGTTTTGGGGAGAAATTTGTGCCCTCTATTATTGCCTGGTTTCTGTTATTTTGTCTGTGGCTTCTTTAAGCTCATGCATCCAATCATTCCCCCTACCAATATTAAATAGCTTATTCTTCTCCACATTAAATCTAATTGCTACACATTGTCCCAGTTACAAATATATCTTGTTTGGTGCTCCAGGATTGAAGCATTAAATCATTTCTGTTTACCTGTCTCAGGAAAAACATTTTTGATTTCACTGCCTTATGCTAGAAAATAAAGGAAATCTCTTTGTAATAATTGACTACATAAATACCAGGCTATTTTAAAATGGATTGTACATACTGGGCCACCACAAAGTGTATAGGATATGTCTCTTTCTTTAATCAAGACAATAAGCATTGGCAGCGAATGCAATGCAGAAATGTCTGTGCTAGCAGGGACCCAAGGTGCTGCGTTCACAGTGTACAGCACAACCAGCTGGGATTTACAGGCAGCCTAGTCCTAGCCCTGCAGAGCTACCACTACCTAAACCCCAGAGCCAGCCCTAGCCCCTCTGTGTGCACACTGCATATATGTCCTCTGAAAATCTCTCTTCAAAGCTGCCCTCAAGAGTAGGTTGGCACTGTCGTTCCATCTCGAGACAGGTCCTCCCTGCTGACCTGTCAGCTCTTTCTACTAATGGGGTCATACGAAGTAGTTGCAGTTCCTTCAAGTGTGATGGTTCCCATGCTATGCAAAGTATGTTTGTGAGCTAAGTGTTTTGGTGAAATGGGATGACAACCCATCATTCAGGAAACGATGGAACAGGGAATGCTCAGTGACTGATGTCCTTAATTGCTACCTCACACCATGAAATCATCCAGGGAGCAACTTTGTGTTGATGATGCAGGGAAGCCATCGGGATAGTGTTGATGCCACCAGCTTTGTGCTGCAAGCTCCAGGCAGCATTCCTCTGCTACACTTAGACCTTTCTGAGGGATGTACAGCACTTGGCTATGGTGAAGAGTTTTTTGGGATGATGAGGTGAAGGGGGAATTTTGCTACAGGGCACCAGGGCTGGCTAGGCAGGTCCTCACCTCACTCGCAGTGCAGTCTGGTCTATGCTGTTTAATCCCCTAATGGGCTGTCAGTAGCCTTTTATATTTTGTCCCTCCAGCTGCCTGGGAGGGGATTCAGCATATGACTCCAGCCCCAGAGCTCCCCCTTTTCTTCATAAGCAATGGCCAAAGCCAGCATCCAGAGGGACACAGACATCTCCTTCCTGGAGCAGAGTCGTTTCTCACCAGGGTGGAGAAGCAACTGTGGGTGGAGCAGTCATGGACAGTATCTCTGTAGGGAAGGTCTGCTCCTGACTCTCCTCCATCAGCAAATGACTCATATCCAGCAAAGGGGGTAGTGTCTCTTCCAAAACTCTTGAGTTTTCAGGTTTTTCTCTTACATCTCTGGAAATTTTTTGTCCTCTCACATGACCAATCTTTCCTTTGATTTCAGCTCAGCTTGTGCCTTTGATGACACTTTACGAACTCCCCCCAGTAACCTGGGGGTTTGTGAAAAGGTGTGATTTTTTTAGCTTACCTTTAAATAGGCTATGTCTCAGTTTCTGAGTGACCTATTGTTGCTGTGCTACAATATCGGGTGGAGAGAAGTGTTTGGTCTCTGTTCCCAAGAGCAGCCATTGCTATGTGTACCTTTAACTTCTCCCAGTGCCTGTGCTCATGGCCTGTGGACAATGTGCCATTTGAAATCCATCTGTGAACCCTTCCCCATGGAGTCAAGTTGGTTTTGCAGCCAGCAGTGCTGAATACGGAGAGCGACCCCTTTTATTCCCTGAGCACCTTTTCCATTCGTCAAGATTTTACAGCACTGCAGTCTCAAGCATCCAGAGCTCCTACCTTAAGCCCCAGATCCAGCTCCTTGAGAGCACGCTTTATTTCACTGGTGAGGATGTTCATGCGCTCACATTCCTGGAAGGCAACCACAACATACGGCGTCCTCTCCTCCACCTTTGCCATCAGTTCTGCAATGTTAAACTCATCCATCAGTTTCTCTAACATCTCTTCCAGAAGAGCTTTCACCTGTGTGCCGAAGGGAGGAGAGAGATGTTAGCGAATGACCCAATGGGCTTCCTCAGCCGCCTGAACACAAGATGAAAACTCCATCTGTCAGTTAGTGTCTCCAAAACCAATCAGCGTCAGCTGCACTGGGCACAGCACCTTCCAAAGAGCTTGCCCCATCCTATTAAAATTCAAATGCTTACAAAAATTGATGTCAGATGAGAAGCTTTCAAAATGATGGTTTAAAAATGTCACTGTGACATGTAACAGTCTCCTTTCTTCTTGGGTCTTAAGCCTGTATTCCTACTTCTCCTGAGGTCAGATTCAATGCAAGAAGATGGATGGGGCTGTAGCCTCAGCTGAGCCTCAGGACAACTGAGCTGGTTTTCTGTGGTGTATTGATAGAGAGAGGTGATTATATAAAATTGAATTTTAAGCTGAATTTGGCATTCTGAACTAATAGAGCCGTGGAAGAAAAGCATAATGAAACAAAATTATTTTCTGGTCAACATTACAGCTTGATTTGGAAACAGTGCTCTATATCTCTAAGTACAAACCAGGGAAAGCTCCAATGCAACAGGGTGTTTCTAGTGTCTAAAAAATAACTAAAACAGACAAAAACTTTTCAGATTGACAGTGAGGCATGAAGACCCTAATCTTCATGGGATCAGCTGTATGTCTCAGGTCTACATGGATCATTAGGCAGCATGGTGTGCAATTCTCTCACATGATACTTTGCTTTACTTCTGTGCTGGAACCTGAGCAAGCCTTCTGCTTCCTGAGGATTTTTCAGGAACACATAATGCAGTTACAATTCTGCGATCTGATGTGCAAAACCTGGCGTGCTGGTGCCAGTGCCAGCTGCCAGCCAGTGACAGAGGCAGCCCAGGGTAATTTTATTGCCACGCCCACTGACATTCATATCTTGGACTCTGTACTCCAATTTCCTCTGTTGCTGCTCTTCCAACCCCTCCACATTCACGTCAGACATTATGAAGAGGTGACGATGTGTAGGCTGTTACTGCAACCGGCTAAGTGGCTAAAGTTAAAGCTCAGCTGGAAAAGCTCTTCAGCTGCACCTCAGGTGTGGTAAAGAAATATCCTCTAATTTGAAATTCCCCTGAAAATCCCTTTGGCTCTGATTTTTTCACAACAATTACAGCTCATTTTCTGTAATGTGGCCTTGGAAACCTGTGGGAGCAACTGGACTTACCAGAGCCTCAGGAAAATGCCAGGCTCGCAGCTTCCCTGCAAACTCCCTAAAACCACCTCAGCCAAACCAGGAGCTGGAAATCCTCAAACGAAGGAGCTAAGAGAAAACTCTTAACCCACTCTCATTCAAGGACCAAGTGAAAGGGATACGGCCAGTGCCAGTTATAGTTCAGATAATGACAGAGATCACCTCCAGAAGAAAATCTGCTGTGGGAGCATCCCCCCAGGCACAACGCAGAGCGGTGGGACCACACTTGGGTTGCTTTCAGGCGGCTTTTCTTCTCAACAAGATCACCAAAGTCATGAGGACTTCTGTGTTCCTGTGACAGTCCTTCTGACTGTCACCAGGAGTTTGCAGGGTAGCCATGCTCTGTGATACCATTCCTGGATCACTCAGTGATAATTTTGCTTCTCTGGCCAAGGAGTTTAATTGTATTTCAGTAGCAAAAGGACTGGGAGGGGAGAAGAGGTAGTCACATTTCACAGAATCACAGAATCCCAGAATGGCAGGGGTTGGAAGGGACCTCTGGAGATCATCCAGTCCAACCCCCCTGCTAAAGCAGGGCCACCCAGAGCAGGTTGCACAGCACATCGTCCAGGTTATCTTGGAGCATCCCCTTTGGCTTTACTACCTCTGGATTATTCCCGTCATCTCAGATTCCAGTACAAACTGAAAACTGAACATGCCCAGCACTTCTAAGAGACCCTTAGGCAAAAGCAGTAAGTTCCCCAGCTCCACACCAAGCCAAAGGAAGCACATGTGAAACCATAGACTTCATATGAGCTTTCTGTTAGCCATTCATTAATTTGCAAAGTTTGAAACACAGAGTTGGGACCTTAAGACTACAGAAATAAAAAACTGAGCAAGCGTTGGCTGGTTTCAGATCCTGTTATGAATGCTTGGGCCAGATTTTAATGAGCTGTGGGTTTCAAGGGGAAGGGCTGAGATCAGCCCAGTACATAGGCATAGTGAAGGACTTCAGCTGGAAATAAGATATTTAAAAACCCCTGGGAGCCTTGGAGCTGGGTGAGAGCTGGGTGGGAGCTGGTGGCAACAGCAAGAGGTGGGCTGAGCCCTGGGTGGCAGCTCGTACCTGGCAGCTGGTGCACTCAGGGAGCCCACTGGGTTGGCAGTCACAGCATGGTGCACAGGCACTGGTGGCTCAAAGAAGGTTCATTTGCAATGTCTTCACAGGATGATAATGAAGGCACTGCAGTTCAGGGGGTAATTAAAAACCACTGTCCCATTACTGAAAATACTCCAATTACATCCCACCGTGATGATGTTCTGCATAGTATGAGTCTAGTGGTTTTAGACACTCGCTTTGTATCCAGCAAAGGATACAGCACATTATAATAACCAGTTTTGAGAAAAACCAGAGCTAGACAGGACTACTTATGAATGAGACAAGCATCAGAATTCAACAACTCCTTCCTCTACCACTCTCACCGTTTCTTCCCTGGTCACCACTCCTCCTTCACCCATGCTGGTGTCCCGGGGCTGCATCTCCAACACGATACGGAAGAGCTTCTCTGAGGTCTGGGTAAGGAAGCCAATCTCAGCATTGGGATGGAGGCCATACAGATACGGAGACTCTGGAGGCAAGGCATCATCTATGTACTGTACAGAGAAACTCAGGTTCAGGTTAGATGCAGAGTCCAGGGTACTTTGCCTGCAGAGTTCACAGTGCTGGAATTAATCACCCACCCAAATGTGTAAGTTCAGGCTGATATAACGCTGCTTGCAGCTTAAACACCAGCGAACTGATGGGAGAATGGAGTGTATGATTGTTTACAGAACTGCTTCTACTCCTGCTGTGAAAAATTCAGTAATTGCTAAATTTTGACTTGGCTACGTATCTCAGGCCTGGACCTTCTCTAGCAATTATCCACTGTGCATTTCGGCATCAATATCCTGAAATCTCTTGTGGGGATTTAGCTTCCAGTAGTTAAGTTTTATGAACAAAACCAGCCTAATATGCCTATCTCTGCTACCGCATTTGTGTACAAAGAACAGATGAGATCAGTAAGCAGATCAACAAGACCCTTCAGTGTTTCTCATCGAAACTGATGATAAAAGGAGCTTGAAAGGGCCATTTTAGCAAACAGTATGTGGATGTAATTTTCCAGGAGCCCTGCTCAAGTCTCAAGAACCAAAACAGTTGTTCTATTCATGCATGAACAGAATGAGCCCATGATGAAGTAGCAAATTACCATTATACTTGGTTCATCCAAGGGAATACTGAAACATCTACAGAAACAGAACATAATGGGAAATAACAGGAGGTGTGTTGAAACACTGCAGTCCTATTCACTGCCTCCTAAGACAGATTGTAAGGCAGTTATGGAAGATATTACATTTATGTGTATAAATAATGTCAGAAAACAAAGAGCTTACCTGATGATAGCCATTATAGTCCATGTTCCCTGGGAGGGGGAATCCTGGAGCAAGGAGGAGTTCTCCCTCCAGCATTTCTGGCTTAATAAATTCTTCCAAATAGGTTTTGCAAAGCCGCCTGTCCCAGTCATCTGTAATGTGACCTCCGTACATAATCTCACCAAAGAGGTAGCGTAAATCATCATAAGGGACCTGAAGAATGAACCAGGAGGGCATGGAGGCGTTCAGACAGCCAGAGCTCCACCAGCCATGTCACCGAGCTGTGGGCTACAGCACTAAGCACTGATCTGCACAGTGAGTGCTTCCACTCTGCTATTTCAGTTTTCTAAGTAAACAAACATTAGGTAGTAGTTAAATCCTGCCCAAGGAAAACTGGATCACAGCATATATTTCATGCAGTTTCACACTGAAATGCAAATTTATTCTAAGCTCTGTTAAACCAAAGACCACTATGTATTTTCAATGAGTAAAGACCACAGGCACTATTTGCTATGATTTGTAAGCTGCTACAGATGTGAGTAGCACTGAAGCTTCCCATCTCACCACAAAGGTATACTGAACTGTGAAGTTACAAAACCAAAGATACCAAGGAAATGGCATTTAAGGAGACTTCCCAGGAGTTTCAGCACAAGCCAGTCCATCACTGGTGGTTAAAAGCCAAACAGCCCACCTTTGATTCACGCACCTTTGAGCTGGCCTCCAGGTAATTATATAGCACGTTCACAGAGATAGTGAGGTCTCCAGCGTTAAAGGGGTAAGAACGGTTCCAGCCCTGGGGACCAAACTTGCGCCTTTCTGCCACCAAGGCATGGAAATAGCAGAGGGCAAACAGGATGCTCTTGAACTCATTCTCCCGGGTGCACATCTCCAGGGTCTCCTGCAATAAAGGCAGAGAGGCAAGGCTGTGTAAGTCCACACCACCCTCTGTCTCAGTGATTCCCAGGGCCTCCCAAATACAACAGACTTTGGACAGGGGTGAATTGTTTTGCCCGATCAGTTCATTTCTGCATAATATACACATTTGCTTATTTTCTACATTAGTGGAATTGCATTGCAAATTCATCAGCAAATTCTGATGCATATTTTCCAAATTAATATTTTCTTTTCCAACTCAAAGTGGCTTTGCACAGGAGTGCATACTGACAGGCAAGAAGGGAAGGAAATGTGTACCCACCCAATGCCCCATCACCTGCACGTGCCTCACATCCTACAGCAGGGAGATGGAGAGAGGCACCACACAGGGCAAGCGTGCCAGCAGTGTGACTGGGACCACGGCCCTAAGCAAGGCTCCTGCTGAGGAGGACTGTACCTGGAAGAACCAAAGTCCATCCTGACCCTTGAGTACAAAAAGCTTCCTTGGGGAGGATTTCTCTGAAGCAGCAGGGAACTCTCCCAGAAAGGCTGTGCTCCCACTGCTGTGACCCTCTGCACAAAGCCAGCCCAGCTGCCCGCTGCAGCAGCATATTTGCTGACGGCACAACCTTGCTCAGCACAGCAAATTAGGGATGCGAGAAACTGCTAAAAATTCAAGCAGGGGAGATCACTTGCAAAAAAAAAATCTAATGCAGTCCTTTAAAGCCAGCACAGCAATGGGTGCTTCCTTTCCAACTTCCAGGTGTTAAACTCAAACTTAAAGTTTGAATATCTACAAATGAGTAGGCAGAATCATGATGCCGGAGGTGGAGGGGTGGGAGCCTGAATCATTTAATCAATGAAAATGAACAAAGGGAACCAGTCTCCAAAGAACCCTGAACAGCACTGGGAGTGACGTCTCAGCAGGAGGGCACCAAGGGGAAGCTGGGGCAGCCATGCCTGTTCAGAGCAGCAAGAGCATCAACGTTACAGGAGAGCAGGGCAGCAGAAAGGACGAAAGACTGGAGCTGTGTGTATGGCATGAGGCTGAAGCTCAGCTCCCACGGAGGAAGCTGAACCCCCTTTCTGTGGCTGAAGCCAGGTGGAAGCTTGGAAAGCTCTGGCCCTCATTTTGTGTTGGCAAGAGCAGTGTGGCTGAGCAGCAGATATCTGCCCCATGGCAGGAACCTGACGGGATCTCCCATGGCCAACAGTACAGATCTCCCCAGACCTGGGAGATTAACATGTTGGATAAGGCTTGCCTACATCTCCACCCACGTCTCTGCAAACCCTCCCCAGGAACAGCATATCCAGGGTACCATGGCTCTGACCTGCAGAGCTGAGCAAGCAGCTGAGCAATGATGGGGTAGCTGTACCAGCCCCTCCATCCTCCCTCACCAGGGACAGCCCCTTTAAGTCCACTCTGCTATGTGACAAAGACTACAAAGGGTGTCCGTGTGACTTCCTTTCACTGTCGCAATCTTAAAAATGTACATTAGACCATAATCAGCTGGGGAACATAACAGAGCTCAGGGTCTGTGCTGAAAAGGGGGAATCCATTACTCCAATGTAAGCAAGATGTTGACTAAGTGCATAGGATGATCAAGAGCAATCCCAAACCCTGTTTTCCCCTTGATGAGACAGCACTCTAGACTCCCTTCATTATCAGCAACCTGATGAAGAACTGGTTCAAATACGTGCTGAACACCTTTCTCATTTCAGAAAATGCCCCCGGACTTCAAGGGAAGCTTGCCTGAATGAACACTGAGTAAGAATCCAGCTCAGTCTCATTCAGCCTCTTTATTTAGTTGTGCATTTTTCTTCAGCTAAAAAGCAGAACAATATTCCTCGCATAGAATAATAGGCCTTCTTTGTGGTTTTCAGCTGAAAGCTAAATTTGAACATCCATTCTGTACAAAGCAGGGAAATGAGGTGTAAAGGGGCCCCACCCACTCGCTCCAGTATTTCTGATAAGAGACGATTTATAATACTCTGGCAGTTTAGAAAATGCTAATTACTATCTGATTGAAATGAGCAGAGGCAGGATGCAAATGTTACTTGGGGTGAAGGTTCTCCCTTCTCTTGCTCTTCAGGACATTTTGTGGAGTTCAAGGTGATGAATGACAGTAGATAAAAATGGAATAATCTTCTTTGACTACTCGCATTAATCCTTGCATGGTGCCTCCCTACCTCACCTGCTCAGCAATGTTAGCTCCTGCACTCAAGATTCCCTCCATAACAACATCTCAATGCATAAATAGTTGCGAGCTACCCCCATTTCTCTTTCCCATGGACCAGTGCCTGGGGTACACAATAGGCTGGGGTTGCTACTGCCTGGTCCCAAATGACAAGAAGATGTATGGGGAGAAAAGAAAGCAATCCTGCAAGGTTTTGCTCTGTGTGTTCCCAGCACAGTCATTGGCAGAACGGACATGCTGTAGTAACGTCGGTGCTAGTGATCCAAAAAGGCAGCCCGAGGGGTGAATGCACCTTCAGACCCTTTAGGCTGCTCTAGGTTTAACAGCCAGGGCCTTGCTGTGAGTGCTTGGCATGACAAGGTAACAGCAATGTGTGAGTGCAGGTAATGGGCATTCAGGGCAGCAGAATGCAATGGTCTGTGTCTCTAGGAAAGGTGTCATCATAAACACAAGCAGTAAGCCCTTAGCCTTTTGTGTCATGTGGAAAATGGGGTCAGCAGAAGGAGAGCCGCCTCCAGCAGTGAGGCACACCAGGCTCCAGTATGCCTCCACATGCAGGCTCTTCCCAGGGGAGCCACCGGCACTTGGTCCCTGCCCACTGTTGCTGGCAGCCTCCTGCCCTGCAGTGCCCAGAGCTGCCGACTGAGGCCACAAAGCAGGCTTGTTTAATCACCGTGCTACAACGACTCTAACATTGATCCATACCCTCTGCAGCACGAAGAATATTTCCCATCATTTCCACATGCTTTGCTTTTGTGTCCCCTGCACAAGAGGCTCAGCTGTAGTTCCAGCAGCAAAGAGCGGGGACGGTGGCCGCTGCAGCAGGAGTGTGTGTATGTGGTCACCATGCAGTAAAAGCAACAAGCAAGAATAGCCATCAGCTATTCTTCTTGTGGGCCAGCAGTCCTCAAGATGGCCTGTTTCACCCTCATTTGGCAAAACAAGTCCTCCTTGCAGGGAGATTTCAGCTCTAATTTGCAACGCTTCTGATGTCAGCAAGGTTTTGAGCTGAATGGCCTTTGGGCACACAACACCAACTCCCCCTACACTGCTCTGAAGAGTGATGTGGGATGTGACCATATCAGCAGTTCTGAACCTCTAACACCAGTTAAACAGAAGGGCAAAAAAATGCAGTTTAACCTGCTCGCCTTCCCAAGTCACTCACCAGCCCAAAAAGAAATGACACAGACACAGAAATCATGTTGAAACATGATAAAAGTCTCCCAAATGCTGCATTCAGAAGTTTGATTCTGTAAAAAAATAGCCTTTCTAACGATCATACATTGGTGAGAAAATTATTAACCTGGGCAGAAGTCTGGTATCCTATGACCTTCTGCAAGAAAGAGGCCACTCAGGATTACCTGAGTCCTCTCTTGGGAAGAGATCTGTGCTCATATCCTGGAGGAGAGACAAGGGGGTTGTTGGATCCAGAGACTACACGATGAAAAGGGACTCACAGGTCTGCAGTGCTCCCTCCCCGCCCCATCGCCCTCTACACAGGGCTCCAGCAGCTCCAAGCCAACCCATTGGCCAGCCACTGGTGTGAGCCCCACTGCTCTCCTACCTGATTGAAGTTGTCGAGGGCTTTGTGCAGGTTTGCATGCATTCCAGTCGGGGCCTCGTTGGTGATTTTGATGGAGTTCTCCAGGATGCCCTGGGGAATGATGTGGCTGTCAGGGGAGGGTGCCGGCTCTGCACTAATGAAGACACGGAAATCCTGGTGGCTGCCCTCACTGTGCTGCTCCAGCTTCTTCTCCAGAGAACTCAGCCACTTGGCCACCAGGTGGATGTTCTGGAAGGGACAAAGGGGACAAGGGTTCATCAATCCCCCACCATTTACACCTGCTCAGAGCAGGCACCGAATCCATCACACGAATGAATGGCACCCACCAAGGCTGTGCTCTAGAAGTCTGTACTTGCCCCAGTAATCACTCTGTGTAATTCACAATATTCTGTCACATCAAGTACACTTTTCAACTCAAGATAATCAATATAAATCCCCAGCATTGAAGCAAGCCGCTAACAGGTTTTTTGGGTTCTCTGTGATGAAACTTTCCTTGCTACAGTAATGTATGGCTGATGAAATAGTGTTATTTCCCCAGATCTACCAAGCTCAAACGAAAATGCTGTTCACTTTTAACAGAATATCAGTGAGGACCCTCAATATCAGTTACTGGGAAAAAAACAATCAAGCAGGTGGTTTTACAAAGACCTTTAACATAAAATATTTATTTATTCAGGCAACTAATTCAGAATATCAGAAAATTTAGCAGTATTATGCAGATATGGTGAAATGGATGAAGATGTGCCTCGGTTTTTCAGCTAGAGTCCTGTACAGTGTTGCAGTTTCCAGGCAAGAAAACAGCTTTTTTTATATTTTGAATGGGGCAGGTCACACACAGCAGGGATTCATGGGCTAAAGCTACCCCCATTTTAAAGTCAGGTGTGTAATCCAGTGTTAACAGGCACTCTAGAAGGTGATTTATCCCATCCAAAGACAGGACAAGGAACTTGCTATACTTAAAAGCAGCCGCCAAAAAGATAAACTGCTTGGAGGTAGCAAGGAAATTATATAAAGGAGCCATATTAGAGGCTTAGAATAAATATATATCACCTACAAAAAGGACCAGAAAGGAGCTCTCATGGTTAAATAGCAGAGTAATGGAGACTATTAGGAGTAAAATTACATTCTTCAGAAAGTGGAAATTGTGTCCAAATGAGAAAAACAGAAAACAGCACAAAATCCAGTCATGGTAAGGCCAAAAAAGGTTTTAAGAAGCAATATTCTGAAAACCATAAAAACTAATAATAAAACCTTTTTCACAATCCAGAAACCTACCAGGGAGCCTATAAAACTCCAAGATGATCAAAATGTACAGGGAGTGCCCAGGAAATGCAAGGCCATCACAAACCAGCTCGTATTCGCTGGAGTATTCACTGCAGAGCCTGGGGAGGGTCTCACTGTTACAGCCTGCATTACATGGTGGCACCACTCACATGCTGAGGCTGAAGACACCTCTGGAGCTCAACCAGCCAATCATCCTGCACTAAGGAGGGTCAGCTAGAGCAGCCTCCTAACTGTATCCAGTTGGGGGTTTGATACCTCCAAGGCTAGAGCGTCCACATCCTGTCTGAGAAATGTGTCAGTCTTCAACCACCCTCACAGTAAAAAGGAAAAGGAAAGGGAAAAGGGAAAGGGAAAGGGAAAGGGAAGGAGAGGAGAGGAGAGGAGAGGAGAGGAGAGGAGAGGGGATTGTGTTTAAAGGAAACCTGTATTTCAATTTGTGCCCATTACCTCTTGCTCTTTCACTGGGCATCACTATGGCTCCATCTTCCATACTCCCCCTGCCACGAGGTATTTAACCAAACTGATAAATCTCTCTGAGCCATTGCTTGTTGAGGTTAAATAATCCCAGCTCTCTCAGCCTCTCTTCATATGACAGATGTTCCAATCCCTTAATCATTGGGAATACTCTTAAACTGAAGCAGCAGATGAAGAGTTTTTCTAAAAAATTGATAAACTAATAATAACAATTTACTAGGACCAGATGGTATCCAGCCTAAAGAAACACAGATACAGAAGCATTACCCCTTGGTATGTACTAGGCAAACTGGCGGGGGCTCTAATAAACCATGAATTAACACACAAACAGTATGAATTAGAAAAAGCCAGGAATCTAAAATTTCCAACACATTTCAGATCACTCATAGGGGGGATATCCAAATCTGAGCTTGTCACCATAAACTCCTTTTGAAGTTGCTAGAAAGGTGAGCTCCAGCAGGCAGCTCACCACACCGTTTTCAGGCATCGCCATTGGTCGCTATTGCCTCCACAAGACCTGTGTATCTTCATGCTTGGATTTTCAGCAGTATCAGCTATTTATCTTTCCATTACCAGTATTACTGCAGGTGAGAGGGAAGGTCACATAGGCTCCCAACTGATTGACACAGGAAATAGGGGTGGGAAGCTACCAGTGGAGTTTGAACTGCTCACCCTACGCAAAAACCTCCTGAAAGAGCAAATGATTAGTGAGCTGACAAAATTAGTCATAAGGCAAAGTAATTTCAAGTACTGAAAATAAAACCTGGTGGTAAAGAACTGCAAAAGGATGCTATCCTTCTAAGTGATGAGCAATGATACGGCAGAAGAAATTTAGTGTTGAAAGATGCAAAGTAATGCACACAGGAAAACAACCCTAGCTATAGATATAAACAATGATGGGTTCAGAATTAGCTATTACCACTCAGGGAAGACATCTCAGAGTCCTTACTGTTATTTCCTGCAAATAACTGCTCAATGCTTAACAACGTGAAAGCAATGAAATGTCAGCAAAGAAACAGAAAATAAAACTGCAAACATTATTATGTCACTCCATAAATACATGGTGGGCCTTCATCTTGAAAACAATACCCAGTTCTCACTTCTCTGCCCCCCAAAAGATACAGCTTCCACATGAGGAGACACTAAATTGTATGGGCTCCCCAGTTTCGCAAGAGAGGAAATTGGGGTAGAGGGGGTGAGTGAAGAACAGGAACAGAGGGATGAATAGAGCAGGCTGCAGATTTAAGAAGAGTAAGGGGAAGTACCTTTTCATATGACACACAACTAAACTGTGAATTCATTGTCTCAGGGGTTTGTGGAAGCTGAGAGAATCACAGAATGCAGCTGAGCTTAGATCCACGGAGAGGAGCACCCCTGCATGCTTGCACTGTTCATACACCCTCCCCTTGGGTTGTGGGCCTGCCTTCTCATGGGCAGGAACTGGGCTGGCAGCACTCTTACAGGTTGATGGAACCTCAAGGGACCACCCTCATGAGAACACAGAAACTTTATTCTGGCTTTTCTGTTGGAGGTTTCAAGTGCCTCTCAAGAGCTACTTATGGAAAGATCCCAGCCGGGACTGGAGGAGAGAATGAACAGTTGTTGAAAAGGAAAAGCTGAGATCCTTTAGGCATGGACTGGGACAAAGCAGCGGCTGCTGTCACAGACTATCAGCAAGTGCAAATGCTGGAGAGATGGGTCAGCTCTCAGAGCTGGACCAAGAGGCAGGAAGGACTGGATGGTGGTGCATCTCACCAGAGGAGATGGGCTGCCTCAGGAGAGAAGAGACTAAGACCTCAGTCACAGCCACAAACAGGTCCCTTTGCACATCACCAACTGGCCTTGCACACTGCCAGATCTGTACTGGGTTTGCATGGCAAGGTTTTGGTAGCGGGGGGGCTACAGGGGTGGCTTCTGTGAGAAGATACCAGAAGCCTCCCATATGTCTAATAGAGCCAATGCCAGCTGGCTCCAAGACAGACCCACTGCTGGCCAAGGTTGAGCCCATCAGCAACGGTGTAGTGCCTCTGTGATAACATAGTGAAGAAGGAAGGGCGGGGGGGAAGTGTGCAATTGCAGCTGGAGAGAGGAGTGAGAATACATGAGAGGAGCAGCCCTGCAGCCACCCAGGTCAGTGCAGGAGGGCAGGAGGGGCTCCAGGCGCAGGAGCAGAGATTCCCCCGCAGCCCCTGGTGCAGCCCATGGTGGGGCAGGCTATCCCCCTGCAGCCCAGGGAGGCCCATGGGGGAGCAGATCTCCACCTGCAGCCCGGGTAGGACTGCACACTGGAGCAGGGGGGGGCCCAAAGGAGGCTGTGACTCTGTGGGAAGCCCACGCTGGAGCAGGCCCCTGTCAGGGCCTGTGGCCCTGTGGGGAGAGGAGCCCAGGCTGGGGCAGGTTTGCTGGCAGGGTTGGTGACACCATGGGGACCCACGCTGGAGCCGTCTGCTCCTGAGGGACTGCACCCGGTGGGAGGGATGGACCCACCATGGGAAAGACTCATGCTTGAGAAGTTCATGGAGGACTGTCTGCCATGGGAGGGACCCCACACTGGAGCAGGGGAAGGGTGTGAGGAGGAAGGAGCAGCAGAAACAGCATGTGATGAACTGACCCCAACCCCCATTCCCTGTCCCCCTGAGCCGCTGAGGGGGAGGAGGAAGAGAAAATCAGGAGTAAAGTTAAGCCTAGGAAGAAAGGAGGGGGGGGGGGAGGTGTTTTCGTTTCTCATTATCCTACTCTGATTTGATTGGTAATAAATTAAACCGATTTCCCCAAGTTGAGACTGTTTTGCCCGTGACGGTAATTGGTGAGTGATACCTCCCTCTCCTTATCTCGACCCATGAGCTTTTCATTATATTTTCTCTCCCCTCTCCAGCTGAAGGAGGGATTGACAGAGCAGCTTTGGTGGGCGCCTGGTGTCCAGCCAGGGCCAGCTCACCACAATATGCCTGAACACAGACACCTGCAGCTGAACTAGTCATCCCACCAGAGAGCCATGGAGAAGGTAGGTCATCTTATCCAAAACCAGATGTGTGTAGTACATCCAATGGATCACTCTGGTGAAAGTCCCCAGCTCTGCCCCTGGCTTGGGAGAGGTGGCTGTGGTGGCTGGGTCAGATGGAGTCGTTTCTATTGCAGGCACCTGAAGTTAAAGGGGATGAGCACTGCTTTCAGAAGCCTCCTAGTAATACGGGAATTATGTTACTCTCACTGGCTTCAGAAGTATCAGAAAATAACACCGCAAGTGTGTAACTGTGTTTTCAAGACTGTAACATTTGTTAAAAAGGTGCACTTCACTATTTCCATTTTCTTACTCTCTATGGGGCTGGGTTCAAAGTGCACCAAGAACTCGGGAAAACTTCCTGTGCTTCTGTCTCCTTGCCCCAGACCTCTGTGTTTTAGATGTAAATGACACCTCCTCTGCCGCTTGGTAACTTCAATATTGCCCTCCTCTGCACAAGATTTTATCG